TTATTTTGGGCAAAGGTTTCTGAGAAGTCGTTCTGTCCAGATAGAAAGCATTGTTAATTTTATTAACACCGAACAATAGGTTCCAAAAGAACATTTGTGTTCCTCTTTGTCAGTGCAAAAGGTCCATTTTCTGTGAGGTACAGTACATAAACGATGTGTTACCATGAGCTTGAATAGACATCTCAAGCACTGTGCAAAACCTCATTTATGTTGTAAAACCTGTGATGCTCCATCCATCTATTCATCCAGTCCTCCATCCATCCATCCATCCATCCATCTATCTTCTAACTGCTTTCAGGTCAGGGTTACATGGGCCTATAATTTTGCTTTAGAGAAAAACATCAGTACCGCTTTGCTCAAACATACAGCAAGAAGCCTAAATAGGAAGCGTGCAAAGGAAAGAAATCCACTGGAATGGATGGGGGGCAACTAAAGCTGTCTGATTTTATTATTTACATTTATTTTAGCAGCTTTGGACAAATGTGACATACAAGCATTTACTAAAGGTGGAGAGGGAATATGATGAACATGGATGTAGTTCGGTAGCTTGTTCCACCATCGGGGAACCACACATGAGAAACGTGTGGAATGACACTTCTCTGGGGGTGGGGGAATCTCCCAGCAGTGTTGGTTTGCTGATAAAGAGGGAGAGATGGGACATAGGTCTTAAGCAGATGATATTAATGTTGTTTTATTCACAGAAAAACAATGATAGAAAACAACAGAAACGGGAGCCTTTTGCTCAACAGATTAAGGCTAAACCAAACACTTCAGTAGCGTGCCTAATGCCTTAGGGCTACTGGCTTCTTCAATTACAGCTAAGACTCAACAATTAAGGACATATTAAGACAGTGATTCTAAGGTATTGACAAAATCAGACAATGACAATATTCGTCACACTTGCTCTATTTCTAGCCATGTTGCAGTTTGTCTAACACCAGGTAGGATGGAACAAAACATTTGAAAGTGTTGTATTCATCCAGAATGAACATACTGTGATAATATTCAAAGCATGTTGTGATGAGGGGTGATATGTATGCTTTCCTTTTAGCCAACAGGACAACACATGCACACACAAACGGCTGGTGCCCAAGAATCCAAAGGAATTACTAATTAGCTGTAATCTAGTGTTTCACGTGCACAAACATACATTTTTGATTTTCTGCAGCTGTTCTGACTACAATAGGTGCAGTAGGTAAATGAGTGATTTTTGATGTACATATTCAAAACTGAGCTTAGCTGAGCTAAGATATTTTGTCACAAGACAAAAAGAACCTAATGTCAATCAAAACTCAGTTTTGATACTTAGTTACTGTGTTTTGCCTTTGTAGAGCAGTATAGTGAATTAAAGCTTTCTTTAGGAGTAGTTGGAAACAAGTCTATCCCTAATGAACGATTTGTATTTCTTATCTCGTACCCAGTGCTCAATGAAGTAGAATCCATACTGAACCAATACTCCCTCTAGTGGTCACATGTCCAAAAACCATAGTAGGGCTCAAAACAATGGCAGATAATTGCAAAACCGGTTCAAATGTTTTTTCAGTTTGACTTGTCTGCAGTCTAGTGGACATGGGACTTATTGCACCCTAAATAAACCATGCAAAAGCAGCAACTTATTTAAACAAGTATAATGTGACCTCCATATGTTTCTTAATGTCAATTAAGCCACTGCAATTTCATTGTGCAAGTAGCATCCGTGCTCCAGTATGATGACAATAAAGGCTTTCTATTTTTATTTCTATTTCTATGTTTAAAAAAAAGATAGAGCTACACTGGGACAGGATACCTTGCGATTTTTGTAATTTTCTGCACTTTATTTTCAGTTTTGTGATTTTGCTGTTTACATTGTAATCAGACCACAAATCCCCCGTTTCTAGAAGTCAGACACGTTTTGGTCAACCTGTTTTTCTACTAGAAACATGGCTGTTAAGCTGTTGGTCTTATTGAATTCTACAGGTTTGTTTCACTTATTCATTTTCATATTCATTTCCAGCTTGTTATCTAGCACAGGGTTGAGGAGTCTTACTAATACCTTCGTAAATTAAGTCTGGGGTTGGTGAAACGTTAATGCTCTGTAACTAGACACAGCACAAACCTTACACCTTGGGAGAAATGCTCAGAGCTCTAACTTGCTCAAGCTGCTTGTACCCAAGAATCCAAAGGAATTACAAATGAACAGTAATCTACATCTTTAATATGCACAGACATATATTTCTGAATTTTTGCAGCTGTTCTGAGTACAGAACTTTTTTCAGCCTATATATATATTTTCTTATTTTTTATTTTCTACCTTACTCTTTCTACTTTACTTTCAACTTTACTCTGCCTGAAAGATTTGATTTCTCAGCTTTTCTTAGCAGTGTTCATGTTTATTTCTTAATAAAGAACTCGTCTGCTTTTTGGAATGAACTCAGGAAAGTCTTGAAATCCGTAACATATAGAATATAAGTGGGTTTCCGTATGTTAGACTTATCTGACTGCATAGTAGTGATGCTTAATCTTTATGAGTGAATTAATTAGATTAAGGAGGAGCCATTTGTTTATTTAAATACTAAAAATGCAAACGTACATTCAACTTCACTTACAATTAAACTGTGCCAAAGGAACCAAAAATAAATTGAGCATGGACCTTCTCAGCTTTTATCCAGCAGTGGGTCATGTTGCGGCTAGAACCCATGCCAGGAAATAGTGTAGACAGGAATGGCACACGCAGAACAGGATTCCAGTCAGACCATGTATACAGAATATATTTAAGAGGACAAGAATATAAAACTAAAGATATCTACTAGGCATAGGAAACACGGATGCAAGAGTACTTGATTCACCTAAAAGGTCTTGATGTGAAATTTGAACCTGAAAACCACATTTCATGCAGGACCAGACCAATTAAAAACACCTATACCTACCCACTGATATCAAATATATTTCGATATCCAACCATACTTGGTTATTGTACTTAAGAGGGGCGGGTAGCCAGCTGACCTTGAAGCTCTCAGGGGGCTTTATATCTCCTATTAGTCCAACCTATATCTTACTGCAATGATACTCCAGGCAGATGCATTATCTAAAAATAGCGGGGGAACCATATAACCATTGTAGAAGCGGTCACTTTGTCCGTGCTGAGCTGAGGATGTACCTTTTTAATTATGCATGGACTTCTTTTTAAAACAACACTTTATCAACAAAGCCATCCAATGTTATCAAGTCCAATATTGACACACATCACATGCCTTAAAGAGTCGTACGGAAAGTGAGCCAAGAGTGAGGCCGGAAAAAATATTCCTTCGTCAATAAGAAGCCATTTTGTCAGTCCAAGTATAAATGCAGTAGAAGCCGCTCGGCAAGTTTTTTAGCGATGAATTTCTAGTCCGTGGAATCTACAAACAAAAAAAAACCATCACCTACTGCTAACAAACTGGACAAACACCTCACAACCTCCTACCTAAGTACAATACGTATCATGCGCAACCTTACTCGACTTTCATCATGCCTATATAAAACAAAAAAACAGGGGTGTGTCCATATCCTTTGTTAAGTCACCAATCAAAATGAAGAATTGGCGGATCTAAACGGTTAAACTCGGAAACTGACAGCAAATTTCACGAATCTAAGTTTGCTGCGCGGGCAATTGCGACCAATCACTAGGATCACCGGGCGGGATTATGTTAATAAGATCGATACTCCTGAACGGCACAGCAGAACGCCAATGAAATGCCGGCATAAGAGAAACGGTCCAATAACGATTAGAAAAGGGTGGATTTTGACACAGGGGGCCGGGTGCGAGGTATCATGGAGGCTCAGTTAGCGCGTAATAGCCGTTGAGTGTGGGAAAGCTGCGGAGTTTCGGCATTCTTTTTTAAATTTAGTTTCCCTCCCTCTATTTTAGAACTTTTTGTGTTGATTTTAGAGATGGAGATGAAGAAGAGAATTAGTTTAGAATTACGGAACCGGACCCCAGCTAAGGTACTGGATTGCGCTGTTATTTAATTTGTTCCAAATTGCGAAGCAGACCTTAAGTACGAGCGGGGAGATCGTTGGCTGTTTACGGCTTTCGGGTGTCCGCATGAGCGCACGGCGTGCGGCTGAAATTCAACTTCAGAGTTTTCGTGCTAGTTGAAGTTAGCGACCGTCCGATTGCGGCAGGACTTGTCCATTTCTCGGGGTTATCGATTCGAGCGGCTGGTCGGCTTAGCTGGATGTAATCGTAATTTCAGTCGGTCCCCGCGATGGCGATGTTGCGGCTTTGCTTATTTAAATCTGCGGCGCCGCGGTGACCATGCTCCGTCCTCTCTCTTCGCTTCTTTTGGGCGGAGGGTGCAATAAGGCTTTCATAAGTCGGTGTTTTATTGACCTTTCGATCACTGGCTTCGACGGCAGATAGCCGGGGCACATTCACGCCGCTCCTGAGGAGGATAACCCTTTTAAAGAGCTCCTTTTTTCCGGCAAAAGCGTGACTCGCATTAACCCCTTCGGATGCGTGAGGGATCGGGGTCCGTGTGCGTAGTTTTCTCAAACACTCTTCCTTTGTTTCGTCCCAAATAAATGCAACTTTACTTTGAAGCCAGGGAGTAAATTATACCGACACATGTCTCCATTTTACACGGTTAGGCAGCTAACTAACCCGCCAAGACGAAAGCCGTGCCTTCCGAGCTGGGTAGCGGACTAGCCAGCAGCCGTACGCGGACGTCCGTCCGGGGAGTCACCGGGGAAGTTTAGCGCACCGGTTTCCCCGACGCGAATAGTTTTGTTTTTGTCCAGCAGCTCCGAAGGGAAGAGTCGGCAGCTCCCGGGAATATGAGCCGCCGTGAAGGTGAAACGGGCCGAGCGACACGAACCCACGGCCTCGCCTTTTTTTTTTATTATAAGCGGCGACGTGGGGACACTGCGGACCGGGGCAGTGATAACGGGCAGTCGGCGTCGTACTTCAGCACTAACAAGTAATAAACCTCATTTACTGAAACCGTCCGTTAGCTTTTGACACGAGTCGCCTGGCCTCGTCAGCGTCCGCTAACTCGTGTGAGGAGGGGAACGAGGCTTTTACCTAGATAGGCCCCTTTGTCACCCTGTAACTTGTGCGCCTGTAAGCAGGCGGTTTAATCCCATTTCCTACGGCACAGCGGGAATTAGCGCTTGGCAGAAATAAGCACCGCACAACGCCGACCCCCCTGAGCGGTCCGGCACAGGCCAGGGGCGGCGCGGCCACTTTCCACGGGTTACGACTCCCACCCACCCCAGCTTTCCGCGGTCTAATGCTTTAACCCGACCGACGACTTCAATGCCCGGATCATTTTCATGTAGCTGCGGTGCATAGTGAAAGAGCCGCGTCCGACCTGTCTCTTTATTTTCATATTATTTTAATGGTTTTAATAGAGGGTGCAGCTCATTGTACTGCCCTGTTCAACGCAGCCTGTTGTGTTGTAATGACTTAGGTAACTTGTTATTCAACGTGGGGAAAACATTTCGTAAAATAATTTTCGGTAGTGTTACACTGAATAACGAAGTTATGTTGAATATGTTTAAACGCCTAGGTATCATTCCAAATGCAATGTAATGCTAAACGTCGAAGTAGGTTAGAATTAACTTCAACAAGACCTGGATCTGTGAGGTACACAGCATGGCAGTGTTACCATAGTCATGTAAAGCCACTAATTTATTAGTGAGTGTAATTCATATTACTGTTATCTCCACTAGATTTTGGTGCGTTGCATTTAGTTTCATATTAACGTTTAAAGCTTGCATTGCTGTTACCATGTAGTTCACGGTCTTTTTACCAGTTAGGTTCAGTTTTGCAAACTCTACCTCGGATTTTATAATTTGGCTGTTTATCTTTACGATCCATTTTCATTTAGTTTCAATTGTAGTGATTGGAAGTTCTTAAATTGAGATGGAACCAAACATGGTAATTGGTGCAAGGAAAATGTCTGTCTATGCAGACATATGTATATTTACGTACATTTATGTGTCTGCACTCTGCATTATGTATGTATGTGTGTGTATATATTTTACCTTATTTTTCTCACAAATGGGAAGCAGGCTGTGGCTCAAAATCATGTTTGTCCTGACATTTAGGATGTAAGATTCATTTTGGTAGTCTAGTGTTTGCACTGGATACTGGAATTACTGTAGGAATTTCAGCATGGGTTGTCATGGGAACCACATTCTCAGGTTATGATAATGGAAATAACTAGTCAACTTGTAATGTTTATCTGGTTGTATGATTTGTTTTTTTTTGTTTTTTTAACAAATCAAACAAGCAGTTCTGACTTCCGCTTCTCTCAGGTCATCTCTCTGTCTGCTTTGCTGTTCACTTTCAGGATCCTGTGTCCCCTTAATGATGATGTAGGTAGATGTCGGGAGTGAATCCATGGGGGTTTTTTCCCCCCCGTCTTCCTATCAGTTCTGTTATGTCTGTGTAATAAAATTTGAGCCTTACTGTGTGAACCCACATGTTGTAAGCCATCTATCTGTTGGTTAGTAATTCCTTGTGGTTTGTCTTTCAAAAGTTTTCCTGCTTCTAGTTGCCTTGCCCATAGTAACTTGTTAGCTTAACATAAGTGTGTTTAATGCTGGCAGCTGGCGGAGCTGGTGGTGGACAATTGTCGCTCCAGTGATGGTGAAGTGGAGGGCCTAACAGATGACTTTAAGGAGCTGGAGTTTCTCAGCATGGTCAACGTTGGCTTGACTTCCTTGGCTAAGCTGCCTTCGTTACCCAAACTACGCAAGGTGAGTCATTTATGGACATTTTTAAAACCAAATTCCACTGTTTGCCCAGATAGCTTGTCCTGCTTCCTTGTTTGGTCTTCAGGCAGTGCATTCCCAGTTTCATTCATTTTGTGGTATAGGTTGACCATCAGTCGGTTTATGTTTTTTAATGTGTAAGTTTTCTTCAAAGAGCATGTGCCACACATTCCTTTGGAAACACGATACAATTTTTAATCATCTTCACACCTCTTTCACTGCTGAAGGTTGAAAATCAGTAATATTTAGAAATTAATATTTTATAGTTAATGAACAAAATGATTCGACCATTTTTGGGTGAAATTTCCATTTGAAGTACTTTCTGAATATCCAACTTGAAAGTTAATGATCATGCTTAAAGAAATTTATAAAATATCTTATCCTTTTTGTGTAAAATTTAAGAATTGCTAAACTTAAATGAATCAAAACTGGAGTAAATTGTCTGTTGCTAGTGTTTCCCAACCCGCTCCTCGGAGACCCACAGAAGGTCCTCGTTTTTGGTCCCTGGGAGGCAGTGAAAGCCAGGATTGTTTGTGGGCCCCGGAGGATCGGTTTGGGAAACACTGGTCTAGTCTGGTATTCACTGAGTGTAATTCAGTTGCTCTTGTCATGGCCCTTCATCAACCCTCTTCTCTTAGTTGGAGCTCAGTGACAATAACATCTCAGGGGGTCTGGAGGTGCTCTCGGAGAAGTGTCCCAATCTGTCATACTTGAACTTGAGCGGGAACAAGATAAAGGAGCTCAGCACAGTGGAGGCATTGGTAAGAGACAGTGGTGTGGACCTAACGACAGGGCCTTACAAAACCCATTGATCAATGATCTTGTTGCATATCCAAGATGCCAGTTGCTATTTTATCATCCCTTCAGAAGTTTTAAAGGTCTGGTGATAAAGTAAAATCCATAACCTCTTTTGTGTGGTCAAGATTCAATAATGGTAATAATGATATAATGATACATTATCGATCTCACTGGGGAAGTTCTCCTTTCACTACGTAGAAAGTGCTTTGGGGTGTTTAAATTATAGTGCATGTTTTGGTCCCCAAAGCTTGGTATATGCATGCTGTGTCTTGGTGAGTGGCTCCTCTGTGCCTGTAATTGGAATGTTGCCAGTTCAAGCCCCGGCCTCTGCAGAAGTCATGTCCCTGCGCCCTTGAGCAAGGCCCTTAACCCCCAGTTCCAGGGGCGCTGCATGCTGGCTGACCCTGCGCTGTGACCCCCGACCTTGTTTCTCTATGTGTCTCATGGGGAGCCAGATGGGGAAGGCGAACAGTAGCATTCCAATGTTCCTACGCTTATAAAGGATCACTTTAATTTCATTTTTTTTATATATATATATCGCAGCAAAATCTGAAGAACCTGAAGAGCCTGGACCTGTTTAACTGTGAGATCACCACTCTTGAGGAGTACCGGGAGAGCATCTTCGAGCTGCTCCCCCAGGTCACCTACCTGGATGGATTTGACCAGGAGGACATTGAGGCTCCAGACTCCGAAGGAGACGACGGAGGTGACGATGATGGTGAGTGTGCGATTTCTCCTGGGAGTTGAGTATTGTGGGGTACCATTTATGTTAATTTTGTTTAGCTCAAGAGAGACTGTTTATATAAGTACAGGTATATAGAAATTGATTGTTTTTCGCATATCTGATCTCTCACTTTTCCGCAAGATACAAACATATGCAAGTGAGAGAAAATCTTGGAGTCAAAGTGCAGGATCAGCCATTTGTCTGGCACCTTCAACCGGAGTGTGTTGGGAAACAATAGCAACAGACAATTTACTCCAGTTTTGGGGTTAAAGACCCACAGTGATTTTGTCTTTTCTCGAATTTTGAATTTTCCTGATCATGGGATTGAAACTGGCAACCTTCTGGACATGGGAACTGGTTTCTAACTAGCAGAGACTCACTGGCTTGTATGAAATGTTAGTTGTTTCTGGTGCCCATTTCTGTAGACGACGATGAGGAAGAAGCTGGTCCCACGGGAGACTGCGATGATGGTGAAGATGACGACGATGAGGATGAGGGCTCAGAGGGTGCAGAAGATGTTGGCTTGTCCTACCTTATGAAGGATGAGATCCAGGTATTGACTAACAGTTCTGCCGTTGTGCAAATTGTCACAATCTTGTTACATTGTTTAATTGTGTACTTAGAGTAGCATCTTAAACTGTTTGTGTGGATCAAAATAGCTGGAATATGAGTAGATCTTAATGTGCTGAAAAACTACTGGTATTAATTTGACTGTTTATGCAAGGGATTCTTTGCAAATATTGATGAAGTTCAATTAATAGCAGAATGAGTTTGATTTCTTGCAGAATTCATTGTTCATGGGTACGGTATTAAGTTACATTGGTTTCTGAATGTGAACTGTTAAGTAGATTTAATGACCTGAAGAAACACTAGACTTCAAAATATAAGAACAGCAAAAGGGGCCCATTAATACCATACAGATTCAGCCTGTTTCTCAGTGATTCCTGTGCCCATTCGGTTTAAAATCTAAAGCATAGTTGTAGGCCTGGTGATTTGATCATTGCTTTCTGAATGTTGTCAAGAAGTATAGTACTTGTTGGCTATACTGTTGATATGGTATAATGAGCACCTGTTCTTCCCCCAGGATGAAGAGGACGATGATGACTATGTTGAAGAGGACGAGGACGAGGAAGCAGAGGGTATTCTCATTTGCTAAGCTCATTTTTAGTCTTCACCAGGGCACTTCTGAAACTCTGCCTATTGACGTTTAATATTCAGATAAAGACCACATCCTTTGAAAAGTAGAGTATACCTCGACCCCCCCCCCCTTTTGTGTAATGACAGAAGTTTTGTACTGTACTGTTCTGGATTCCTCTGTGTTCCTCAAACGGAGCCAAGCCAGAGTTTGGTGGGTGTATTGTGAACAGACGTCCTTTAATATCCCTCTGCAGGTGAAGATGGAGCCCATGGGGAAAAAAGGAAGCGAGACCCGGAAGATGAGGGGGACGATGATGAAGATGACTAACCAATCCAGCATGACCCCGAATTAAGCTGTAGAACAGCAGTTTGAATTTACCGATTCAGTCCTTTGTATACCATAGCTATCACTGTAGAAACTACGTGTTTTTTATGAGTATATATAATATATAAATGAAAAGTTTTGAAAAATCATTTAAATCATTCTGAGTTTTCTTTTTTCCCCTTTCTTCCCCCTCTCTCCTTCTCCTTCTAATATCATGTTAATATTGGGGGGGGGGTTGGGTGTTAATCTGGAACCTTAAGTGAATGACTGGTTTGCATTTAGGGATGTAAAGTTGGTTTGCTTCATGTCTTTCCTTTAGATTGAAATAAGACGATTATGCCTTTTTCACTTGTTTAATTTCAGGTTAAACGTTATAAGATCTTGCATCTGTGAGACACAGTGATAGTTTGTTGTATTTTTTTGTTTGCTCTTTTGATTTCTTTTTCTTAAGCGTTTCTCTGTGGCAGAGATATTCCTCTGTGTTCTCAGATGAATAGGGATCTGACTCCTTCCTGCCACCATCACAGGACTTTGGGTATCAGCTGAAACACTTTACTCACATGTTGATCTTTTACTGTGTTTAGAAATTTGCTTACAGGTCATCTTGCTTTATTTTTTTTTCGTAAATGTGCTTCCTGCCCTCCAGTAAGTATAGTATAAGACAGTATCCGCTCTTTGATTAGTCATACCTACTGTAAAGTATTTTTCATTATGTCTTTGGGGTTTGTGGGGTACAGTTGAGGTACTGGAAAGTTTTTAGTCATGTTGACCCTTGCTAGTTGCACTGTTGTAAGGGTAAAATCTTTGACCTATTTAACAAAAAAAAATAAGCTCAGGTGGACCAGATTTTTAAAGGCTTTGTGGATCTCCAGGATTGATTGTCTCTCTGTCCTGATGCAAGCTAAATACCTTTTCTTAAGCAATGGAAAAATGTTTTTGGGTTTTTTGTATTAACAGAGCTAGACCTTTAAATTGTTTGTATGTCGATTTGTATATAGTATGTTCCATGTTTCTGAATTTTTTCCCCTCTTCCCAGTCTTTTTTGGTCCTTAAATTTTAAAGCACATCCAAGCAATCCAGACCCTAAAACACTCAGTATACTATTTCTGTTCTCTGCTGTTGTGACAGTTGTGTGTTTGGCATTTGTGTGCTGTAAAATTTGACAATTTTTAAATTAAAGAAACATTCTTTCGGAGTTCATTTTTGATTGCTGCATCCTACGATAGCCTTTTGAATATTGTGGTCTTGCGGTCAATGAAATGAGGAGCAGAATCGGAGGCCGGTGGTCCAAAACGTTTTCGTAAGTCCTTTATATATGAGGTTTGTGGAACAACGTGATGGTCAATAACATTTTTGTTTTGAAATGCTTTCTCAATGTAGTTAGCACCTTGTTTGAGAGAGAATGTACAGCTCTAAATAAAAAGCTAATGAGTGTCTAGCAATGATGATGATGGGTCACTCATTGTCTTGGAGGCTAGAACCAGAATGTTAACATTTTCAATCAGTCACCAGTGCCACGAGGTGATGGAGATGAGCAAGAGTTTGCTACGGGTGCTGAACTGTTTGACCTTTAATGAAAATAGATGTGATTTAAAAGCTGTTGCAAAAAGATTTGCCGGCCTGAAAAATCGACGCAAGGAAGGGAAAGTGGTTTATTGGCATAACAATGGTGAGAAGTCATGTAGGGTGTTTGACAGTGGGTCCCACCTAAGGGCTAGAGTGCAGCAGCTTTAAGAAGGTGATTTCGTTTGTAAATTGCAGTTAATATGCTAAGCTGGAAGCCTTACCTTACTGCAAAGCAGAGCACATGATCCAGCCTGCAGCCTTCAAGAATGAAGGTTATTTCGGAGCAGCAGATATCAGTGCAGTCCTAGGGGGCCATGGTGGAAGCTGATTTTGTTACAACCGGTCCTTGGCAAGTTTTGATTGGGCTTCCATGAAATTATTTAGCTCTAAGCTAAAGCTTCATTAGGTGCTATGGGGGGAGCAATGGAGCTAACTTGATTTGTTTTATTTGTAATTTCAAATATTGTTAAAACATTATTTCCCCACTTCTGATGATTTTGTATTGTTTTTTTGTGTTTTTGCGCGCACGGACCCCTTGAAATCCCAAGTAGCTACATGCCTCTCCCGAAATCTGCACCACAGGTCTAAATGGATCTGAAGCAGCGGCAGAAAGTGGCCAGCAGGGGGCCACAGAGACTACATTTCTGATAGAGCACAAGGACTGTGCTGTTTCTGCGAATAGTCGAATGGAGCGTCTGGTCCCAAAATCATTCGGAGATAAACCGCCCATGTTCAAAGTTTGAAATAATCCAAACGTTAAAACATAATTCATCTGGTTACCTGCCGGTAGCAAATATCGCCAGTTGAACGCCACGTACGGGTAAGTGTTGAGGTTTTAGTCACTTAAGTGACTATGTGAAACGATGTACGGACGTTACCATTACGTATTACTGCATTAACGTCTTTTATTCATTATGTGGAGCTAGTTAACTTAAAGAGCTTTATATAAATATATATATATATATATAAATATAATATATAAATATAGATTGCCACTAGCACACGACGGGCCTAAATTAATTACAGTCGCAATTATTTAAGGTTGGCTGAGTCAGGACGTGTTCTGCTGCTGTGAGTACATCCTAAGTCTAATCGTGAAGGGAAACACGCCAGATTCAAGGCAGAGTGTGTAATGGAAGAGCATCATCTTAAACAGGTATACTTTGTATGTTTGTTTGAAATTTGGTTTCTGATATGCAGATTTAGTTTCTGGCCGACTAGAAACTAGAATAAGGTTTGTATGGTGAGTTGCTGGTATCAGATATTCTGCAGGACAAGTCAGGACGTTGCACTGTTTGAGCTTGTGATATGCTCACGTTTGAGCATAAACTTGTGAAACATAGGAACAAATGACAATCGTAGCTCCTGTTATTGACTCTGTCCTTGCTATAGTCTTTGTACTCTTTTAATATGCAAGCTGATGAAGGAGAATAATCGGCTTACATCGCTGCTTTTCCAGTACTGGGCCTGTCTCAGGAAGCATAGGGCAGGGGGGGCATCCTGGATGGGATGCCAGGTGATTGCAGGAAACACTGACGCAGTCACACTCTGTGGGCAATTTCAAGAAGCCAGTCTGCCTTACTACATAGATTTGGACTGCAGAAGGAATCTGGGTTATATGATGTGGAAACCGCTGCAGGCATAGGAAGACCATGCAGACTCCAAATACACAGCGGCAGAGCGGGAGCTAAAGCCACAATCCTGGAAACATGAGGGCAGTGGGAGCCAGCACACCTGCCTGAGGCAGAAACGGCATAAACGAAAAGAAACGATGAGGGCAGCCCCAACAGTAAGGTTTTGTCAAGCTGTGGATCCTGTCGGGGATCATGAATTGTGTCAGAAAGAATTCCTGAGTCACAAAGTCTGAATGCAGCAGGGGCTGGATCTCTGCCTGTCGCGTGTTTTACGGGGCAGCCAAGCAGCAGTCGCGCTGAGCATGGGGGGGCGGGTGAAGCGACCACCCTCCTCGGATTGTCCGTAAGATGCCAGCTACCCCAGCAGTATCTGCGGCAGAGGATGACGCTGCCACAAGAAGCAGGATTACTTAGGAAATAACCAATAGAAGGGCATAAGCAACCTGGCTTCTGGGTTTGATTCGCTCCCCTAGTTCTGCGCGTGGAGTTTGTGTCTTTGCCCTCTGCCTGCGTCTACACTGGCTTCATCACACTATCCAAAAACGTGGTTCTACACCGGCCAGCTTAGCCCCATGGAACTGGCCTAAGACTCACTAAGGCCCTGCATCGTATGAGCACGTCTGGAAAATGGACAGGTAGGGAGAAACCCAGCTCCCTCAAATACTGTACATATGCTGCTTTGCTTAAATTAATGCATTATAACCCATAATGCAACTTACTTCCAGTAAACTATCCACATGTAGAATCAGGTAAAACTTGTTTCTCCAGACGAGTCCAACAGAATTCACTGGCAGTTGAATCCAGCCGTTTGTTTGTTTGAAGTCACTCTCACTGAAGATCAAGTATTAAAGTGGAATTCAAGGGGACACTCATAAGTATTGGCATGAACCGTAGTTGATCCTCGATCCGTATGGATCCCTCCCCCCCTCAACACGCATGTGAACCACGGATTAATTGTGAAGTTGAATCATAATAGTGTGAGAATCAGTTTTACTGCTGCTGTTACTTTTTAACGTAATAATTCCCTAAATCTCATTTCTCACATTCTCCTTTATGTGTAGCACATGGGGGCAGTTTTGGATCTATGATGGGAATGGAACTTTAAAACTGAGAGGATTCAGTAGCTTTAGCATAGCATTTTTAGTGGAACCCACTTCCCTCTTTCCCTCGACGTGCAAACTTTTGTTTTCCATAGACGGCAACTTCTGTTATTTTGTGATCGCAAGAAAACTCATCATCTTGAGAAAATAACTTTGGCTATGTCGAAATCGCGAGAAAAATGTCATGATTTCAACATAAGACAGAAAAAGTAACAATGTAGGTCCTCTATGGACTTCAGTGCGATGCAGAGTTGCAGTGAAAAGAAACAGACAAAGCTGGAATGCTCAAAGTTCCTTTAAGTTCTTTAAGTAATAAATGGAAAACAAAGATATGTTTCCCCTCCCCGCTTTTCTACTGATCTAAATTATGATCCGATCCGTGACTCAAAATCCAAGATACAACTGGGTTTTTTTTTTGGGATCCGTTGCACCCGTAACACTGATAAATGAAGCTGCCACTATTTGGAATTAAAAAACTGAAACAAATGAACCTTTGTTTGTTTGCCCTCTATCTTGGTTAACCTCATATGCAGCGTCTGTTGATTTGATGGGTGTCTACTATCGTGGGACTAACAAATTTGAATCACCATCATACAATAATGTTACATATAGAACTGAATTAGATTTCTGTACTGTTTATGTGAGGAACAGTGGGAGTAATTGCATATGTCATAAGATTTGCACTCAGTTATGCATAAAAATGTTTTTAAAACGTTTTGATTAATGCTGAAATTTTTCCTCAGTTGCAGCAGTTGTGCAAATTGAAAGGGGAAATGCATTTAATTTACACTATTTATGGCTTTTCTACAGTTAGTGTCATTAACTTCTATGATATGCGGATGCACATCTTCCATCGGTAATTGTGCAAACTTCCCTGTAAACTCCAGCATGAGCCGCAAAAGAGGAGGAAGCTACAGAGGGCAGGGAAGCTGTGGAAAGAAAGAAGGGAGGAGCCATGTCCTGAGGTCTGATGAGACCAAGATAAACTTAGGTGAGGAGGACAAGGACAAGTGTGTCTTGCCTACAGTCAAGCATGGTGGTGGGAGTGGGAGCGTCATGGTTTGGGGCTGCATGACTGCTGCTGGCACTGGGGAGCTACAGTGCATTGTGGGAAGTTCTGGGAACCATGAATGCCAACATGTACTGTGACATACTGAAGCAGCGCATGACCCCCCTCCCTTCGGAAACTGGGCCGCAGGGCAGAATTCCGACACGATAACGACCCCAAACACACCTCCAAGACGACCACTGCCGTGCTAAAGAAGCTGAGGGTAAAGGTGCTGGACTGGCCAAGCCTATTGAGCACCTGTGGGGCCTCTAACGGAAGGTGGAGGAGTGCAAGGACTCTAACATCCACCAGCTCCGTGATGTCGTCATGGAGGAGTGGAAGAGGATTCCAGTGGCAACCTGGCACAAGAGAGTTAAGGCAGTGCTGGAAAATAATGGTGGCTACACAAAATATTGACACTCTGGGCACAATTTGGACATTTTCGCTTAGGGGTGTACTCACTTTTGTGAGATACTGTGTATGTATATATGTGTGTGTGTGTGTGTGTGTGTGTAAGGATGATTTAGGTTTTGGCCTATAATGGAGAAGGGTTTCTCCTTTCATGGTTATTATCTAGCTGCTAGTGTTGTTTTTTTTCCTCTAGAATACATTCTCAGTTCTGCCACAACTTCCCCACACCTTCAACCCCCTTCTGGTTCAGCACACATACACACAGACACACACAGACACACACACATTTTAAAGTTCATATATTTGTTGGAACTCTCCATTCATTTCTTTGGGCATAACCCTAATCACAACATGACGACCTTAACCCCTACCCAGTCCTAACTTTAACCGTAAGTGACCCAACAAAGTACAAGACTTTTGGCATCTTTAGTTTTTTGTTTGAATTGACAGATTGTTTATGAAAATGAGTTTACTCTTGTGGGGACCGAAAAAAATGTCCCTACAATGTCAAAATAACAGGTTTTTATCACATTATGGGGACATTTGGTCCCCAGAATGTAATATGTACATTACCACACACACATACACACCTTTCACTGCTTTGAGAGATTAACCTTCACCACACCTCTTCTGTCCTCCACCCTCTCTGTGTGTGTCCGCTCATCAGCCAATTACAGAGCTCCGGCAGTTTTAGGCCATATATGGTCAGTGTGGTCTGTTAAGGAGGATGGGCCGTGAGACATGTGCAAATGGAACAACACTTTTGTTATTGTTCCAGTGTACAATTCTAAGCCTTCCCCCGTGTTAAGACCATTTCTCCATCCCCATTCTGGTCACACTCACAATCACCCATGAGAGCCTGTATTACCATACACCAGACCTGCATTAACCTACACATGGCAATTGCAGTGGGCAAGTTTGCATATCTGCAGAAGTGGCCTTCAGGAGGTCAATCTTGAACTGAATTTGCAGGAGCAGCTGTATTAAGTGCAGGAGAAGACCTTGAGCTGAATGCACAGTACAGTTCATAGAAAAGTGACCTGTGACCCCGAATCTAGGAGTCTTTCATGCATGTAGTGAATTTGGGTGTTGTTCAGACCACGGAACTTTGCACTGGGAAGTGCTGCCACTATGAAGGGTGACGAAATAATGCCAAATTGTGCTTGGTCAAACACAGGTTGTTATGCAAGTGTTCAATGAGATTTATATGTATATGACTTCCGGAAAGCCTGGCCCAAGCAATATCTTCAGAACTGTTCAGACCTGCAAGATCTAGTGGTATCACACAACTGCACCCTGCTGCCTTTGTGTGGCACTCGATGATTACGTCAGTAAACTTCATGGCAAAGGAGTTATCTATAGTTAAGGGTATAGATAATTCACTGGGGTTTCGAGGCATTGGGTGCTCAGAATCTAAATTCTGTAATACACAGAAGTATTTATAATATTTACCACCAATTGCACATTGTAGCCTTGCTGTTTTTATGAACGTTTGTTCCCTCGTTTATGAAGCAGCTTCAGCTGAACTGAGCAGGTCAAGGGACTTTCTTCAGCTTTGTGGCAGTCGATGTGACTCCACACCCTTTAGCGTCAGTGCAAACTCTGAAGTCCTTGCGTGTCCTTCAGCATCTCAGCACCTCATTCATCACCCTGCACCTTTCAAAATATCAACCACAAAACCCAGCACACCGATGAAAGTATGCAAACCCTTCAAAGATCCAGACTCAAAGACCATTTGTATACTTGAGTCTTGCAGACAATGTTTTGCTTTTTGACCATGTTACACACTTCAAAGTTCACAGGAGAGCACAGTACTTATGTTTGACGTCTGTCTATAGCAAGTTGCTGGCTAGATTCTCCCGTGAGAAAGGACCCATTTTTTCCCTATGAAATATTCAGGTCCCCCCAGCTTGCTAAAAGCCAACATGCCATTTTATTTACTGTGTATTTACCTGGGACGTTTTCACATACAAATGTGACCATGCTTTATAGTTAAAATATTGCAAGATTCTGCTTCTTGGTGCTGTAGAGCATGATGTTGAGATTAAATTTTATTGACCTTTTTCTGTTTGATGATACCAATGCAGGAACCAAGCCCTGCACCCATGCTATTATCTTTTGAGACCAACAGTCTCAGTGACTACCCATAAACTGCAATAATGCAAAATGCTCTTCATATAAAAGTATTTATTATGTGCCAAACACGCCCAGTCAAAGCAGATGAGCTCCAAGGCAGAGCTTTTTTTTGTTTTTTCTTCAGGATGCAAACGATTTTGTGGTGCACGCAAACCGGGCACCAGACCTTCCACGGCTTTACAGCTTTATATGGTCTGTTGGGAGACGTATCCCAGCATGCCATGCTGCTCAGCTGTCAAACCATGCTGTGAAATGAATACCTGTGAATGGACTGCTAACGCTTTGAGCATCCATTTGGAACAGCACTGTGTAGAAGCATCCATGCCGCCTGGCGGACTTCCAGCAGTGTTTTGTACTTGCATTTCTGTGCCCGCAGTAAGGATCATGAAAATGCACAGTGAGATGATGGGAAAACTGGCAGTGTGTTAACATTTGGTGAGCTTTTGACGATTTTGTACAAAATTATTACTTGGTCCAAGACCATAGTTCTGGCGTTTTCATGAGTCATAAAACTGCAAGCTTTTTGTTACCAGTACTGTTCTAAGCCACACTGTTGTATTACTGAGAGTTTTGAATGATCACTGAAGAGTCTGTATCACTCCACGCCCATCTGCAAGATCACAGGAGCTGGTAGGCAAACATCAGATGGAAGCCTGTTATCTGTTTTACATCACAGGCTGCTTCAGGAGGTCAACCTAATGGTCGCTCCACGTCGGGGGCGTGGGGACTGAGGGGGGCACTGCTGTGACAACTGTCAGCCTCCAGAATAGCACCATGAGAACCTCCTCTCCCATATTAAATTTTGCAGAGTGGGGGAGTATTGGCAGAGGGGTTGGTTTTTGTTCCTTTTTCCAAAAGGGGGGGAACAGCATTCACGTGCTTCCCATTACAGCCCAAGCACTGGTTGTGTTTCCCAAACGCAGTTTACCCATCCACCTGACCTGAGCTGTTGCACTGTATAGGGGGTGAGGGAGCTGTATTAAGGGGTGAATCTTCCTCCTTCCTGATTTGCCAAATAATGTAGAGTTCATACATTGTATGGAAATATAAAAGACAATTACATACATAGTAATGACAGACAAAATGAACTGCAAGATAAGCTTCTCCAGTCAGGTATTGATGGGTATAAAAATAGGAGACCTTTTACCTTCCCTGCCATTAAGTGTCTTCACTAATAAAAGAAATGATTAAAAAATTGTGTGGTACATGGATGGGTACCCCAAGATTTCGAAAGGAAATACCAGTGTAATACCACCCAATCCAATACAGTAGTTCTACTAATGCATGCATTTTTAGTTTGTAAATGTGAAACTAATTTCTTCAGGTACAAACGCACATTGCAAATGTGTGGTAACAGGTCTAAGCAGGGTAAAACACTCCAAGCCGCACCTTATATCTTTAAATGCCCTCCGCTTTGCATTGGGCAGTTCTTTGCCTCTGCAACTGTGCAATTAAAATATTTTGACAACCCAGCATGGGGTGCCAACCCATCAGAGGGCACACACACACACACACACACACACACACACACAGAGGGAGGTTTGTCATTATATCTTTGTGGGGACTCTTCATTCATTTATATGGAGAAAACTCTAATCCCAACATAACGACCTTAAAATGGTCCCCACAATGTCAAAATAACAGGTTTTTATCATTGTGGTCCCCACAATGTAATATAAACATAATCTACACACACAGACACACCATACCTATGGGCAATTAACTCCAATTCCCTAAGGGGGGGGGGGGAACCTGGAGGAAAAAAATAAGGGATCAGACAAAGTGAATTTTTTAGTCTCACATTTATTAACATTAAACCCTGAATCATGTGTTTAACCTGCGACTGTTTGTGTGAAACTGCTGAATGTTTGCTTCAGTTGAAGAAACAAATCAACAAAAGACAGTAACACTCATTTCCTTTCTCTCTGTACTTTAGAAGTCCTTGTCTAACTCATTTTTAAGGCTAAAGTAATTATCATTTGGTATGCAACAGTCATCCTTTACTGCAAATAAAATTCTCTGTGCCTTCGAAAAATGTGTGCAAGAAATTTTCAGAAGCATTCAAAAACTATCCGGAGAACAAAGGAAGACTTTTAGGTCAAAGCAGAAATATTAAAAAAAAAAAAGAAAAAAGAAATATTCAACCGAAAAATCCTTTTAATAAATCAGATGGAAATTTTAAAAAGCATTTTAACTGAAATTGAAAAATGTATTCACTGTTGTACAAAAAGTAATCTGCATATTTTATTCACTATATATTTCATCTGTAATGTAATTGTAAAAATACAAATGAAGTAGCACAATATCTAAAACTTAATAGTGATTCTTCTCACTTTCTTCTCTTTTTTTACATTTGAGTTTTTTCCCCAGAATTTCAGTGCTTATTCCATGTGACAAACAGCATACATGTAGTCAAGAAAATGTTGATAGGCCTAAAGAATAATAATAATAGTAAAGGTTTGTTTTAACGAAATCCACATACAAAATTATTTTACACAATAATCTGCTTTGAGGTAAATTGTTCTTGATTGAAAGACTGGTTTGATAATCTTGCTGGGATTTAGTATTCATTAATAAAAATCCTGAACTCGACCACTGAAACGTGTGCAAATTCTATGACAACCAAATTCAAATGACACACTTTATAGCGGGTTCTTATCTTATGATGCGTACCTGCTTTGAATTGCTGTCTAGTCTTTGGCATGTGTTGAGGTGGCCATTTTAATTTTTGTTGCGACAGTTGCTTTGTTTTGTCCGTTTTCCGTATTGTGCTTCGGAAACGCCGGTCAGGTGAGGTAACTACCTTTTTCAGTACCCTGTTTCCTTCATCTTTATCATGTATTACAAGTAGTTACACATTCAGGTTGAAAAACCACCAAGCCGAACGCAATCAATCCTTTACCTGAAAAAAAATGGGCACGTTTGTCTCTCATATAACTGTGGGTCATCCAGGCATACAGAAAAAAAACACAGATTGATTATTGTAATTCAGATTAGAAGCACCTAAAATGTTCTGCAAAACAGTTATTAACACAACAGTGTAATTGGGTCAACAGTGTTTTGATATCTGAGAATGTCTCGGCTGCCATCTTTTAAAACTCTTATATCATTTCAATGGGAAATTAATTGGACGATCGTGAAATCTGTGTAAAAGAAGAGAGCAAGTAAACACTGGCAGGCAAAAAATACACAGGACTTGAATGACATAATGACTGTGTCCACTTTCACAGCGCTATAATGTTGCTACATCTAGCATCCTATTCAGAAAATTCTAAAGGATAATGATCATGTCCACCAATAGACATGCAGAGTACCGTACTGTTACCTCGGCTACGGGCCTGATCTCCCAATTCAACCAAAACAACTGAAGAGCAGCTTGCGAGGCGGTTAATGGTGATCGCAATCGCTTATCATTTCAGGCCTGAAAAAAGATGTGTGATGGTAACAACCTCCTACGTTCTGTGCTAAAGAGCAGCTGATCTACATGGAGGAGCTGCACGGAGCTCTGTTATGTCAACATTCTGGATAATGTGCTGACAGGCGCTTGCTGAAACTGAGTTTAGTTCAGAGTGCTCTGAATGAGCGAGACTTGAAAGAATTGCAGGATGACCGCAGGAGCCTCTCTATCTCAGCAGTACGTAAAAACCCAAAAGCAAGATGCCCATGCTGCCCTCTGAAGCAGCCGCTTCCTGTCCAGTGGTTGCACTGCTTCCCTTTCACTGCAAGGCAATAGTGGGCCAAAGTGAGCACCGTGCCAAGAATTCACACTCAACTTTCATTGATTTCCCCTCGATATAAAACCTGATATCTATCAAAACTCTGAAGCTCCTGTTGCCAAAAAGCACATACTGTAATTATCCTTCAGAAAATCACCATTTATGAGTAAAAAAAAATATATATACAAAATAACATTAACACTGTTCTGTAATGTCCAACTGACTGAATTATAATGGAGCAGAGTGCAAACATATTACAAAGCAACTGTAAAACAGGCATACTGGCAAGAAATGCCCTTTGGTTTGTCTACTACATGCAGACATATCTTATTTGTTTTATTGTGCATATGCTAGGTACAGACAAAAGAACTATTTGGGAGTTAAAAAACTGATTAAAATCAGCCTTGAAGCTGTAGAAATACTATTGGCCAATAACATTCTTCTTACCGTATGTATCATTAATGGATGTCTGTATTTATAACTTTCTGCTTCAAATATGGACCGAGACAATAGTTTATAAATGTTATAAATATTGTTTTGATAATACCTGAAGGTATTCTAAGGCAGTTTTATATCACCGTGACACATAATACTGAGATTCTGAAGCAAATATCTTCCCTGTTTATTGACTTGATTGTCAGATCAAAGCTCCACCCATCCATCTTCTATTCGCTTATCCTGGTCAGGGTCACCTGGAGCCTATCCCAGGATGCACTGGGCACAAGGCTGGGGTACACCCTGGGTGGGATGCCAGTCCATCACAGAGCACATGCATGCACACACTACTGGCAGTTTAGAGACGTATGTCTTTGGATTGTGGAAGGAACTTGCATCATAAACTGCAACAATTTCTACATGCCAGTGTCATCTTCTTTTACAGTAATCTCTATAGTGCAACTGTGTAAAGTCTACACAATATCAAAAAAAGGTCTAGTTTATAAATACAGTTCTATTGAAGATTCATTCCAATACACCGCAACCCATGTACTGGATAAGCGGTTATGAAAAAATGGATGGATGGATTCATTCTAATTGTTGAAATAAAACAGGATTTTCCAAAATTCCAAAGATGGCGTCCTGTCCAGGGTGTTCACTGCCCTGTGCTTCCTGCGACTGGGCCTCGGTTAAATAACGGCAGGATGGATTGATGTTCTCCCGGAAATGAAAAAATAAAATTTGTCAGAGTAATTGTGTAACTGGGTGATTGTTGAAGAAGAGAACATTCTGATCTTGCTGATGGTTCTTGACTGTGTTTACCTGGTTATTATACTTAGATGTGAATTTTTGCAGATCATAAGCAAATGACACAAAACCCCTGCCAAAAATGACCTGCAGACTGTCACATAAAAATAATATCTAAATTTATATTTTGTCTTTATATAGTTTATATATATAGTTAGTAAACCAAGGTATAAAATTACTTGTTTTGCTACGTCAATTGCACTCACATGAACGAGATCATATCTGGACATAGAAATGTTGCTGCTGAACAACGAAATTAACAGACTGTATTGGTTAGGCTTCCCCGTGGGGGTTTGCAGTAAGATGATTATGGAACTCTTCCAGTGCATAACAAAGCATGGACCACAAGGTCTTGCAGCTGGCCCACTCAGTAGTTCTTCCCAGTGGAGTCATCCTCAATCCCGCATTACGGAAGAGGTAACCGTTGCATCAGCCCCCCATCACCAACTGTCACTGGATGCCATCACAGAAAAAGACCAGGCAGTGCGTGCACAGGACAATCCACTGCATCACGTTATGGCCGGGATGCCACGTTTTGATTCTCGTTAGCTGTCCTAGGTATCAGATGGCCAGTCTTGACGGTACAATCCAGACTACGAAAGTTCTTCACATCAAACAAGGCAAAGTCTACAGAGCTGAGCAGATTGCAGCAAGGGTTGACCTCCCAACCTCCAGCTTGGGAGTGCATACTTAAAAGGAAGTTCAAAGCACACCGCACCATGGAGATTGGCAGGCTGGTGTGCATTCATGTTTATGCATTCCAGCATAGTGTGGAGAGTGAACTTAAACTATCATAAAAAAGGAGAATATACATCCCCACCCGTGCCTGGAACTGTTATTTTTTGTCTCGCTCTATGCTGTAGCTGTGATCTCTGATGCTGTTCATCCCCGAATCACATCATACCCTCCCTTTGGTGACTTGATTCTTTTGCTTGCCATTCTGTGACAAAGTCAAGTTGCTAACAGCTGTGGAGTTCAACTGCTGAGACAGAGCCTGGATCTGCCGGACCTCCTCCAACACGTCCCGAGCGTGACCCCAGGCCGTAACGGCCTCCTGCAGCAGCCGCTCCGCCTCTGCGTGGCTGCTCTCCAGGTGTTTTTCGTTGGACGAGTCTTTATCTTTGTGCTGCTGCTTCCCCTTCACCTCAGCCAGGAGCTCCTGAGTCCTCTGCAGCTTCTTGGAGATTAGATCCTGCAACTGGTTGATAGTCAGCGGTGGCGTGGCACCTGGGGAAATCATGGTAGCCCCTTTAACTGCCCGCAAGTCTGAACTGGAGATCTTGTCCATAGAAACACATTGGTTCTTCTCTGCAGGTGTCTGCTTTTTGCTGGGCTCAGGGGAGTGGGCCTGCCCTGTTACCTGCTCTTGGTCCCAGGTGATCTTAATTTTCTGAGGTAGACCCTGTCCTTTGCCCACTGCTACATTGTTCACAGGAGATTTTGCGCTCTCAGTGTTTGTCTGTTGACGTACTGAATCAGGCTGTGGTGCTGACTTGTCCAGGTCTACCTTTAAGCTCTTCTCGCCCTGCTCCGGCTGAATTGGTGCTGAAATGTCTTCTTCCTGCACAAGGTCCAGGGTCAGCATGCCATCAGACGTGGATGTGGATGCCTAAATCACCACAGAGTACATTTTAGGCACTATGAAGATGAAATACTTCAGTATACTCACAATCACTATATCTTGTTACAATTTCTGCATTCAGTATAAGTTAAAACACAGGCTTACAAATATTAATGCAGTATTCATGTGGCATGTGTACTAATGAGAGGAAAAAACCTACCACAGCCATGATATGACCACGAGTGGGCAGACGTCGGGTGTGGGGAATCTTTGCACGGTCACGTGTGGGGTGGACCAGGAGGTTCTCTTCTTCAACCGTGACCTTGGAAGAGAGAAAAGGAGTGGAAAACAGAGGCAGTGAGGCATGGAAAACATGCTTGCTGGAGGAGTGAAGCTGATTAGCTGCTCAGTTTCTACATTGATCACCAACATGTGATGCCTCTGGACATACTATGGAAAAGTAATACATTGCATAAGCTTCCAAAAATGTATAAAAGTGTATATCATCTAATCTGGTCTGATTCCAGTCACCTCCAGTAACTGAAGCTACAAGCTCTAGGACATTACAGAGATCATTATGCTCAATTAAAAAATGTTACATTATGTATTACAGTATAATCAGAACTTGATGTCATACTTTTATTTAAAGCAAGTTATGGCTTGTCATAATCTCTTGAATGTTTCTTGTACTGAAGCAGAATAGGCGCCTTGCTTGATGGGTTGAATTGGCAACATTTGAATTATTATTTTAGTCCCTTCAGTGATCCAGATCTTTTTTTAAGTAATAGTTCCTGTTATTACTTGGTAAAAAAATGGCCTTTGTGTAACTGAGTGGTCAACAAAAGGGATTTAATTTGTTCCCAACAAAAGCCCCCAGTGTTGGAACTGGCCCAGAATTTAATTGCACGATTATTTGATGTTGATGAAAGTTATATGGAATGAATTAATGCTATAATCTTCTCCAGTTTGTTGTTGTTATTATTGTTATTATAATATTATTATTATCCATCCATCCATCCATCCATTATCTGTACCGCTTTATCCATCTGGGTCGCGGGGAAGCTGGAGACAATCCCAGCATCATCGGGCGAGAGGGGGGGTCCACCCTGGGCAGGCCGGCAGTCCACCACAGTATTATTTATATTATTATTATTACTATTATTATTATTATTATTATTATTATTATTATGATGTTATGGGGGCTGCTCATTTTGCTCATTGTAGTCTCACTCTGTGTGTGTCTCTGCTTGTATCTTTAATTCTTCCACCCTCCCCAGTACATTCTGTGCTGTGTATCCCTGCCAGGTGCCCTGTGCTGCTTGGCTTAGGCTGCAGCCCCCCACCCTCCGACCCCCACCATCCTGTGCCATGTCAGTGGCTGGAAGATGGGTGGATGAAAGCATCATTTTTTTACTGCTATTTTGAAGTGTTTCTTTTCCAGAGACCGTTGTTGGGCCTGTTACCATAAATATTTATATGCACTGACAGAAGACTGTTGATGTTTACAGACACTACTGTATATATGTACATGCATACCCTCCTGTCCAGCATTTTCACCCTTTTCTGGGCCATATGATGCAACATTAGATATAGCTCAGATTTATCTTACTACAAATACATGACTTTATGTCACTCAGGCAGATGCTCAGCTGTATGGGAGCTGGGGAACAAAACGAGACCAGGTAGGAGGTCTGCGTCATGTGACTTCACATAAATGTCAGAGACCTGGCGAAACCCTCTGATTACCAACAAGGCAGACAGGTTCTATAATGTCCCTCCTGTCCTCTATCTGCAGGTTGTGATTGAGTAGATTTGCCGTCTTTGGCATTTGAACTCAGTAGCTTGAGACATTTCTCTTTCTTCCTGAAGTAAAAGCGATGCCAGGGTTGAACTAAATGCTACTGAGAACACAAACCTTGAAAGTCATTTGCCATCGAGGAAAAGCTCCGATGTAGAGGATATATGACGATATGACATCTGCCGTCTTTTTTCTAGAGTGGAAACCATTAACTGCATATTCAAATTTACATATAAACAAGGACGCAGACTGCAGGCCAAAATTAAGCAACAGCCTTAGTCTGATAATCTGTCTAAGACCGGATTGGAGAACGAGCAACGCAATCCACTGTTAATGATTGTATTACTGCTCTCTTGGGTTTAATCAGAGAAGAAATATAAAGTCAAAGAAGATATGCGCCGTCTCAGAATGTCAGCGGGACCACTGCCAAGCAGTACCTCATCTAGAATCCGGTTTTTGGCCCTGATGATGGCTACATTCAGCGCATTGATCCACGACTCCTTTTCCTCTGGGCTGACAGCCAGGAACACCAGGTTAGGGACCTGCAGATGGCAGAGTAAGAGAGAGGAACAGTGAGGAAGCACGACTCGGCTCTGTCCTTCGCCAGCAGAAGATCGCCGGAGCTGCCAATGAGGTGAGGGTTAGGGTACAGAGACTATGTGTTCTGTGTCACTATCGTCCTTAAAAAGCCCCTGAACCACACGCAAGACTACAGCCACCCTGACTGGTAAAACACCAGCTTATAACTGGCCCTGTGATGCTCCCTGTTTCATATAATGTAGCCTTTTGCATAGCGAAAGAATTCTGTGTGTAGGAAATTCGGTCAAAGGTTGTGTAAGCTTGCTCGCAGATATACGTCTCTCGTGGCAAGGCAATCATTCCTTAAACTAGTCAAAAAATATGTCCTTAAACTAGTCAAAAAAATATTATGAAGTGCCTATAGGAAATGAAACAGCTGGCGCCTGTTAGACGTGAATGCACAGCTGGAGTTCGAATCAGAATTTCTACAGCAGCACTTTTGAAACTGAAATGCTCTGTTTAGTTCTGACTGCATCAGCACACCTTAGCGTTGCAGCAAGGGAGAGATCAGAGTTATATGTTCTTGTGAGGAGATGCCGTGGTGCTGAAAAGTGATTATTGGAATTAGGTTCCATCCATCCATCCATCCATCCATCCATCCATCCATGTTAACCATCCTGGCCTCTTGCTACTTTTCTAGCCCTGAATTCACTTGCACCAGATGCCTCAGGGTCTCACAGCATAAGCGCAGCCAGTAATACCCCCCCATGAGACTCACCGTGTTCCCTGGCTGACGGCAGCGCAGCACAGTGAACTTGCTGTGGTTCTTCTTGCTGCGGCTCTTGGACTTGCGCAGCTCCTCTGACCGCTCGTAGTCTGTCAGGTCGAACACCTCCTGGATCTTCCTCTCGTCTTTCACCTGCAGTCGATTTTATATGGCCGTTGAGTATTGGTTTGAGTTCCGTGCATCATAATTCATCAGTGGGGCTTAATTTCAATCTACTACAAATACGTTTCTTTTTTGCCTGGAAAAACTTGTAAATCTTGAAGAACATTTATGCAGCACTATGTATTTCATACATCTATACCAACCGCTTAACCACCCACTGCTTTATAAAAGCTCATGTGCACGAAAAACAAGCTTGTATGTATTTTGGCTTGTCTGACATAGACTTACACACCGACTTAACTGTTTTATAACTGATACAGTTATAAGCTGACATTAGTTCTAAAAAATGGCTAACTGTCTGCCCCCCCCCCCACTTGCTGCAGCTCTAATAAAGAGAATAATATTTGTGTGTGTTCGACAAAACATGTAGTGATATCTAAATGATTGTCAAAATGAAAACAGTACGGCCATTTCGCCACATGGCTGCTGTAGCATTTTCAGAAATCATATCATTTGATATATTCGTGGAATAGTGGAATTGTATGTCATGATGCCAAGGGCTCAGTAAGGGCCACAGGCAGTGGGAGGTACGTATGGGACTCTTTGGGCCGTCTGGATGGGATGGGTACTGTCAAGCTCTGGGTGATTGTCGAGGCTGATCCTCAACAGACGAACCAAGGGAATGGGCAGACGGTCCACTTTCACACATGAACACATAAAAGTGTGTGTCACCCCAGCACTGACAAACTGCCTCTGTATATTGTCAGTTTTAATTGGAGGGGTGTGGACACGTGCGTTACAATGAGCAAATCTGCTTCCACTGACCACACTGTGGGCTCCAGTGGAGGTACAATACTTAGTTAATAGAGTCAAACCACCAGAATCTCAGTCGCGAAAAATCGGAAATCAAGTTGTCCTGGATGCAAAACGGCATCTTCGTTAAGAAGGCATCAGTGTTAACTGATGGAATCGTAGCAGAGAAATGAAACAAAGTTTAACGAAATATTCTTAGCAGACGTGCAACGGTGTCCAATTGGAAAGAACACAAATGAGGTCTTAAATGTCACACTGGCTCCCAGCTAGTTCTGTGCGTTTCACAATTCACTGCGGATGACCCAGAGAACAGTGCGGGCCCTGTGAGAGGTGCACAAAGTCTGTAATTTGCCCCACAATAAGGTCTGATCTGGTGGAGCAGGAGGGATACAATACTGTTACAGTTCTGTCCAGTTGCTAGGCGCTTGCTACGGCAGTGATGACGCGAGCTGACGTCAGGACGGAAAACTAAACACTGCTCTGTGCTATCAGTCTGAGGGTCACCACTGCATAGGGAGGGCTTCATCACTGCAGCTGAATTTCACTCTGATTTATTTTGAAAACGCTGTAATCCAAAGCTATTCACAAGCCAGCGCAAGTCTGTACTTGATCTGAAAAGCAGAACAACTGAAATTCAGATGGTTCCGGGTGTTCTGCCTATACTGCAAATGCAGAAATATTAAGCCAAGCATTGTCTGCAGTCATTACCTGTTTTGGAGACTGTAGAGGTTCAAATTATTTCCTCATCTGTTTTAACAGATAAAAGACATTTCTGGTATCATATACTGAGTTCACATTAATTAATGGAGCTAAAAACTGGAGCATGGACACGTAAAACTGTGATATTTGCAGTCATTGCTTTAAATTGATTGTGGGATTACTGGGAATAAGCAACTTCCCAATAGGAGAAAGAGACACAAGTCTGCAGTGATTCCCTATCAAGGATTCCACATCCAGAATCTGTGCAGTGATTCCCTATCAAGGATTCCACACCCAGAATCTGTGCAGTGATTCCCTATCGAGGATTCCACACCCAGAATCTGTTTGGTTCTAAACTGTATTGTAACCAGAGGTATGTAGAATTGTCAGAATAGCTTGCTGCTTAGTCAATTGTCTTTTATTTTCCTGTAACTTCACAGAACAGCCAGCTTGATGTTTTTTTAATATTGATGTGAAATTCCTGTAGTTTCATGTTAACTTTCTGCCTTGCAGAGAGAATAGATGGCAGGCTGACATCCTGACTTATTTTCTTTCCACAATGATGTTAAATCTGAGGTCTTTGGCATAGTTTTTAGTGCTGCCTGGAACTACATTATTGCATGTGATCTTAAACATGGGGGACTGACAGCTGAACGGAAAATAGCCTTTTATATAAGACAACTCTATTTCAGTACCAAAATCATTAATACAAATACATTATAGCATCATGCAATATGATGCCAATGTTACATAACAAGCACATACTAATCCGCTGACATAAATATGGTGATATAATTTTAAGTCTTTTTGTCTGGTCACGTTAATTCACTGTTTGACTGTCATAGACTCTGATACCCGCTCACCTTCTACATGAGCCTTAGCTTACACACCAACATCAGTCCTGATATAATTAGTCATCCATTTAAAGTAGTTTAAACTATTAAAAATATGATAGCCCCTTTTTTATATATATATGTGTGTGTGTAGTGTGTGTGTATAAATATACACACAGATATAAATCTGGGTAACGATTAACTTGAGAGCCACAGTATTAAAGATATACATTTAGGACAACGATTGCATAATAAACATCACACACCATTATATCTTCATAAGCAATCTGAGCTTTTTGTGTTAAGCTGCTCTGATCCCTTCAGACCCTTTACACTTCATACAAGTTAGGTAATACTAATGTGAGCAAGACAAGCTCAGAGTCGCGGAGACCTTTCTATCACACAGCAGTAGCCCATTAAAATTTAATCTCCACACAGGTTTACATTAACTTTTAAGAAGCGGCATCCCCTTTCCAGATAGCCCTCAGTACGTGTGGGCAGTTTTGAAATACCTGGACAGGTAACCTTAAAGGAATTATTTGCCTGTAAAAGTATTCAGTCGCTTGTACATTTTTCCCCAATTCTTCACAATGTATGCAAAGTAATGACACTTTGGAGTAAGTAAATAGATAATTAAAATGTGCGACCCTGACAATTCACGACAGCATAATTAAACGAAGCCTTTTCACTGGCATGAAATTATCGTGATGAAGCTCACCATTTAGTGGTCCCTGTCTGTGTGCAATAATTAAAAAAAAAAACCTGTCTCTGCTTGATATTCACTAGCACACCAAATAACCTCACGACAGCTTTACCAGGGAGACCGAAGAGGGTTTCCAAGCAGCTAATTAAAAAGCAGAAGCAAGGATATTTCAGTCATATATGGATGCTTAGATCAAAGTCTTTAAATATCTCTTGTGAGCAAAAATGACTCTGAGAAAGTGTTGGCTGCAGGCCAGCTCGCTCCCCAGTAGGGAGCAGGAAACCACCATCATATCTCCCTGCCCCATTACCACACAATACCTCATTGTTGTAAATAAATAACTTCATCCATTCATTTTCTGTAAAAGCTTGTCATATACAGGGTCAGAGGGGGATCCAGAGCTTATGGGCGCAATGCAGGGCACACTCACACACCAGCCACTCACACATGCACACCTATGGGCAGTTTGGCAACTCCAAATCCATGGGGGGAAACCGGAGTACCTGGAGGAAGCCCCACGATGACACGGGGAGAACATGCAAACCCCACACACATGGAACCCTAATACCAGAGGTGTGAGGAGACAGTGACGACTACCGTGTCACTATGCCCCCCCAATAACTAACTCACGGTACGTATTGCAGTGTTTTGTACATATTGTATTTCTTCTAACATTCCTTGCACTCACATGCTCTATTGCATTTTTTATATATATTTATGCACACCGTATATATCAATCAAACCATGTGACTGTTATCTTGTCCTACGTATGAATCTATTGTATGTATGAGAGCCATTGACAACCGGGCACAAATGCATGTAAACACGCTTGGCCAATAGGCCGAGGAGGCTGCTGAAGCCTCTTACAGAGCTACAGTGTTCAATGACTGACATCAGTCAACTATATACAGAGCAGTCAGCAGTGTCAGAAAGCCAGGCCTAAAAATAAGTCTGCAGAAAAAAACAGCAAAAAATAACTGCAGCATAATTGCTAATCTATATAATCAAGCATGGTAGTGGCAGCATGATGCTAGAGAGATACTTATTAAAGATTTGCAGGCTTGATGACACTGGAGAAGAAAAACTGATTAATGCACAAATGCCACAAAGAAACTGTTTCTGTGCAGAAAAGCACATGGTCAAAGCTAAACTCAAGTGGCTTAATATGTAGGTGAAGCCCTTGATTGGCCCATCCAAAGTTTTCATTTGAGTCCTGTTCAAAAGCTGCACCTGTACTGACCGTAAGCGATCCTCAAGCTAATTCTGAGAGCAAGCCCATCAAGGGGAATGGAGGGAAATTACAGTACACTGGTGTATGGTGAATCATACCCAAGTAGACCTCAGGCTGTAGCTGTGCCTAATATTCAATTCATGGATATAATTACAAGTGTAATTATCATTTAAGTTGTATTTATTTATTTATTTATTTATTTATTGACATTAATGGCAACTTATCTTACCCTTTATAATGTGTCAGGTTGAGCGCGTGTAATATTAGATTTACAGAGACAGGTATGCCATTTTTATAATTGTAACTGAAGTAATACTCAATGTATACAAGCAGAGTTGGGTAATTCAGGTCCAGGGAGTAAAAGTCCAGATAGGGATGTTTTTCCAACCAATCAGTTGAGCATAAAGAGTCACAGTCACTGAGTATTCAACTGGTTGGTTGAAACAAAATCCCGGTATGGACTTCTACTCTCTGGACCTGAATTACCCAACTTTGTATACATGCACAGTTTACACCGTAACACCATTATTCAAACCTCTTATAAAACTATGATCTGAATGCAATTGAACTATAAACATTTCATTATTTTTTTTTCTACATTTCAGATGCACATTTTGTATGTCTTAAGAGACCCCAGAAGAATTCACTACACTATATGCAGACGCCATGTAATATATTGTTATTGTACTCCAGAAATAACCTTGGTTATGCAAGTATCTGATTTGACACTAATCTTTAATAAAATGCTTCT